GGCAAGAGAAAAGAGAGACAGAAGCTTGGCGGGATTCCATTCAAACCTCCTTTATTTTAAAAATGGCTACAACTTATATAGGGTGGAGGCGGGCCAATGGGGCAGGAAGAGGGCACAGAGTGTTATCTGATAGGTCATCATCACATCCGGATATATGACGTAAGCAGGAGAGGATTATGGGTAATGTAGGCAGACAGGATCATGGGAAATGTAGGCTGACACACAAAATGCCCTCAGGTGGGAGGGGCAGGGCAGCAGCTGCCATTCTGAGCCGCTCCCTACACTAAACTTATTAAATATGACAATTTGTCTTAAGATTCTTTAATATTTTTCATGTGTAATTATGTCATTAATAACAATTTTATTTGTTCCTTTTAAGTTATTACATGTTTTATTTTATTGGTTTTTCACTTCAGAAAGAACTTCCAAAACAATGTTGAATAAAGGTTGTGGTGGCAAATGCAGAAATGTTTAATTTTTTTGTTTGTTTTCAGTGCCGGGGGTCAAACCCAGAGCCTTGCATACACCAGGCAAGTGTTGTATAGCTGAGATACATGCCCACGCCACAATTCAACATTTTACCATTTCGTTTGATGCTTGCCCTAGGTTTCTTGAATTTGACTTTGGATTAGGAAGTTCCTCTCTAGTCCTAGATGGTTAATTTGTCATAAGTGACTGTTGAAGCCTATCAAATGTACTTTTCATATCTACTGAAATAATTGTATAAATCCTCTCTCTCTCCCCCACTCCCTCTCTTTCTGTCTCTCTTGGTTTTGTTTTGCTTGAGATAAGGTTCTCTGTTGCTAGTCTATACTGGCTTTAAACTCACTACATGGCCTAGGCTAGGCTGAAATTTGTAATTTTCCTGCCTACATCTGAGTGCTGGGATGCCTGCCTGGCTGTCTGTTGTTAATGATAGAAGTATACTGACTTTGTAAATTCAAATTGCTGTTATCTTTTTTATGTATTACTCTGTTTGGTGAGTGACATTAGTGTCCTTTCTTTCCCAAATGCTTAATATGTCCAGAAATTGGTTCCAGGAAGAAGATGCTACCATAACACCAAGATTTGTGGCATTAACATTTGTCTGGCAGCATGAAATTGTCATTCGGGGCCCTGCAAAGATGGCAACTCATGCAATGCAAAAGAACTATAACTTGTAGTCTGGGTGTGAGTAAAGGGCATAATACATACCTGGCAAACTTTGTACTTTATATAAGAGGTAGGAAATGAATGCTGTTGGGCTGAGGTTATTAGTACTTACTGCATTTGCAAAGGTGCTACAAGAAACAGACAATAGGTGTCTGGTTGCAGGCAGGCAGAAAGGAAAGGAAGATAGATAGATAGATAGATAGATAGATAGATAGATAGATAACCAAGATTCAAGAGACTTGCAAGGTTAGAAGGTACAACTGATTCATGTTTTCAACTAGTAAAGAAAACTGAGACGGGATTTGAGCAGCAAATGCTGTGCCTCATGGCAAGGACCAGGTCAAAAGTATGGCTGAGATGCCATTGTTAGCATCTGTCTCTGAATGGAACAAAATGGCACTCAGAAGATACTGTCAGGGCCAGGTGAGATGGTGCACACCTATGATCTCAGCACCCGGGAGCCTGAGGCAGGAGGATTGCTGTGCGTTAGAGGCCAGCCTGGGCTACAGTGAGAGTTCAATCAAGGCCGACTGAACTGAATAGCAAGTCTGTCTCAAAAAAAAAAAACAAAATCAGTCAAACAAAAAACAGAAAGAAAAGTACTGTTAGTTAGAAATAATGTCTCAAGGAAGAGAAATAATTTAGGATTTGACTCTTCCTAAGGAAGCCTGATAGGCTCAGAACACCTGCAGTCAACATTAGAGCAAGAGAGGAAATGACTCTAAACAATTGTAGCACACAGAACAGTTTAGAATCAGATTAATAACTTGGGATATGTTAATGATAAAATAGCACTCCTGCAGTAATCCCTAGCATGGTTTTAGGCAAATGTGGTTTTTTTTTTTTAATCGGTACCAGGGATCAAACTCACTACCGACCAGGCTTGCAAGGCAGGCACTTATGCCGCTAAGCTAAATCCCCAGCCCTGCAAATGTGATTTTTTTTTGTCTTTTTCCTTTTTATTTTTTAAGAATGATAATTGGGTTTCTCACCCTTGGTAGGCAGACTTCACAGTTGATAACCTACCCTTTTAAAAGTAGGGGTAGTTACTTACTGCCATTGTCCCAAAGCCAGTGGCTCTGTGCTCAAGGGATTTATGAAGTGAAACTTTTCGTTGTCTCCCTTGAAAGGCAGGCACATATGCTCTGCACATGGGAAAGGAACGAGATGACCAGAAGGGGAACCAGGGGCGGCAGAAATGCTACCCAGCACGCGACTGTTTGACATGCTCATTCGTTGGGTCCAAGGTGCTCTGGGGACAGCAGGTGCTCAGAGGCCTTCCTTGCCCTCCCTTGCCATCTGAAGACACCCCCAGTGCGCAGGAGCTCAGCTGTCACGGGCTGTCCCAGGAATCTTAGCAACCAGGAGGTTGATGCCACGGCTTACACTCTGTCCAGACAAATCCCCTAATCTTCTGATCACCAATCCAAGCCAGCTTGTTTTACCTAAGAGATTACCTTAAGCTTCTTGTTGCTCATAGTCTTATAACTTGTGTGGCCAGCACCTCTCAGAAACCTCAGGCTTGGGGCTGGGGATTTAGCTCAGTGGCATAAGTGCCTTCCTTGCAAGTGTGTGGTCATGAGTTCAATCCCTGGTACCGATAAAAACAAAAAAGACAAAAAAAGAAAGAAAGAAAGAAAAGAAACCTCAGGCTCTGTTCCTTTTTTGTAGCACAGTATGCTACGTGTAAGCTTCAGTCATCTGATTGCTCTTCAATACTAGGTTTTGTGTGACTCCTGTGCACTTGGATGCATTCATATGCTCTTTCTCCTATTAAACTGCCTTAATTTGTGGCCCAGCCGAAAGATATAGGGAAGTAACAAGAAGCCACTCTGCCCTGTGTTGCTCTTGTAGAGCACTCTCCCTGTAACAGTGGCCAGGACAGGGCCAGTTGCTTTTAATCAGTAAAATGGAGCAAAAACGAGAGGCTGTCCCTTCTGAGGTGAGGGTCCAGAGCTACTGTGGCTCCCCTCTCTGCACCCTCTTACTTCCACTGGCTCACGCTGGGGGAAGCCGGCCACCAGGTGAGCTGTCCTGTGGAGCAGCTGTGTGATAAGGAAGGCCAGGGAGGCCTGAAGCCCAGCAGCTCATGACAATCTGAATCTCCCTGACAGATGCAAAATGACCTCCATAGTCTTCAGGTGACATCAGCCTTGCTCAGCCAACACCGTCGACTGCCATTCAAGAGACCTGAATGCAGAAACACCTTTACAGATTGCGGTATAGCCTACCACCACTGGGTTCCTATGTTCAAGTGCTGATGCCCCATGAGATTGCTTTTGGGGGTGGAGCCTATGAAAAGATAATAAAGTATTGTTATTGAGGTCATGGGGTAGGGTCTTAATATGATGGGGCTGAGGTCCTTACAATAATAAGAGATGCCAAAAATAGAAGAAAGGCCACATGAGGACATGGCAAGAAGGTGACCATTGACAAGCCAGGAAGGCAGCCCTACCACACAGCGTGGATGACAATTTAGACCTTGAAACTTCTAGCATCTAAAACTGAGAACGTGAATTTCTATTGTTTAAGTCACCCAGTGATATTTTATTTTGACAGTACCATAAAACAAACAAAACTAAGCTGTATCTGGATTCTTGTGTGTGTGTGCAGTGTGGGCACACCTTGAGCTCAGTTTGTAGCCCAGGCTGGTCTTGAACTCACAACAATCCTCCTGCCTCAGCCTCCTGAGTGCTAGGATTACAGGCCTGGCTATGGATTCTTGATCAAGTACTTTTTTAAATTTTATTTTTATTTACTTATTTTGGTACCAGGGATCGAACTCATGATTTCATACTTGCCAGGCAGGTGCCTGTGCCACTGAGCTAAATCCCCAGCCCTCCAGCTAAGGATTCTTGACCCTTAGAAACTTTGAGATGATAATTTTTACTGGTTTTGAGCTATTACATTTTGAAGTGATTTGTTATGCAGTAGTAGATAACCAATACATTAGCCCTTTTTTCCCCTCTATGTCCTTTTTGACTTCTGTCTTCAAAAGACGGACAGGCAGAGTGCTGTCTCTGAACACTTCCAATTCTTGCTTTTCCTGGCAATGAAGAGTCATGTTATGGGCTGGGGATGTAGCTCAGTGGTAGAGCACTTGTCTAGAATATGTAAGGCCCCACCCACCCAGCCAGAGAACAAAGAAGCAACAGCAACCTCCCACAGGCACCAGCAGCCTGTTGGGTGAGCTTGGAGAGAAGATATATCCATCCCCACACCAGGAATCAGCTGATTTGGAAGAATGCAGCCTGAGATAATAGCAATTGATTTAAAGAAAGAACATAATGCCTTGTATTGTTTGGTTGACTTTGCAGACCTAAAACTGGTAGTCTGAACATCTATTTAGTAGATAACAATATGCAACATAGTAGTTATTGTGGATTTCCTATTGTCTCGTTTTTGCCAGTATTGTTCTCGTTTTGTTTCATTTTGTTGTTTTGTTTTATTATCTTTAAAATAAATAAATAGAATATGTAAGGCCTCAGGTTTGATCCCTCACACCGCCACCATCTTCAGCACAACAAGAAAAAATCAAATCCAGGATTATACTGAGTTCTGAGTCACTGAGAGCACTTCTGAAATATTGTGATTAACTTTCCATTTTCCTAGCAAAGTGAAAAAATAACTGTTGCTAATCCAGTTTGGATGCAAGTTACATAAATAATAACTGCAGTGAATTGGAGTGGTTTCTAGAGTGTACATTTGTGTAGATCACCTTATACTGTAATTCTGTGTATAACATATCTATATTGTATGCATAAGTGAATTCCTGTAATCCCATAATTCCTATAGATTAAGTGTTCCTAAGTAATCTTAATTATATGTCTATTTAAATGAACCTGTAGTTTTTGGAAGTGGAAGAAAATTATTTGCTGAGATGGCAGCCGGGAATCCTTCACGCGCAATCCCGGGAAGGGACAGCTGCCACACAAGGTTCAGCGCCTGGACACCTTTTAGCAACACGTCATTAAACAGACAGGTGAGTTGCACACTCTGCAATAAAACGAGTTTGATTCATGCCGTTAACTTTACTGTGATGTGTTGAGTCTAGTGTCATATTTTTGAAAGAAAAATCCTCTAAAGAATGTAGTTTTTGAATCAGTTTAAACAAAAATATACCTAGCTTCATCAGACCAACGCCAGTTTCTTAGCCTAGCTGCTACCCTAGCTCCTACCTTCCTGGAGACTCCAAATCTGCCTTCCTTCTCTGGGGACACAGTGGAGGTGTCCAGGACACACATGGCTTGCTGTTTGGGAGATGGGAGTGGGGTGTTCATCAGAGTTTCTTTGTGTCTCCTCAGTTCTCTGTTCCCTCCCATGCCCTCTGTGTGGTTCCATGTGGCCTGGGAAAACCCACTCCCCTTGAAGGTAGTTCAGGAAGAAGCCAGTGACTGGTGCGGGTGCCCTGCCAGGCGCTAATGGAGGAAGCAAAGTGGGTCCTCAGAGCTCACGCAGTTTAGCTTCCTTCTCCAGGGAAGGGGGCAGCCAGAGCTAAAGTCCAACCTACACTACAGACAGAGCTTGTTTGGGGGACACTGATGCTGGTGCCTCTCTTCCCCAGAGACACACCTAACAGTGGAATTTTGCAGTATTATTGACTTTCGACTTTGTGGGTATCATGGGGACCCAGGGCTGTGGGTTAGTAAAGTTTTTAAGTGGTCCTGTTTCCACAATTAAATGCTTGTAGCTGTATGTGTTTTCAATACAAAATGTATGGAATCTTGTTCCCTAGGCAACCTTAGCTAGGTAGAAACAGGAGCCAGGAATGATTGCCTCTGTGTTCCGCCCAGGCCTTCCGAAGGCCCCTCTGTAATTACATCCCACTGGCCTTTGCACCAGCCCACCCGACAGGCCCCGGCCTGTCTGCAGCCTGGATACAAACAGTTTAAGGTGAAAGGGGAGCCCCCCTCCCCCCCCACCACATATGCAAGCGTGCTTGTGAACTGTAATGTGCTATGCAAATATCAGCTGGGAGCTTGTTCTTAGATTGTCTAAAGATTGCTTAGCAACTGAGAAATATGTGGAACTGTAATGCAAAATCTCATCTCCCTCCACCCCTTCCAGCTCTTTCAGGAAAGGGTTGCTCTTATAAGCCATTGGTTTGACCTCTGGACCAACAAGCAGCGCCAAGAATTCTTACTCACAATTTTTTTACGATGCACTAAATCACAATTAAGGTAAATGTAGCCTCTTGTTGTAATTATCATTGATGCTTAAAGAAAACAAAATGTAGTAAAATGTTGTACAGCCTTTAATGGTCTCCCTTTCTTTCCTTCCTTCCTTTCCTAGGAAAAAGGAAGCTACTGATAGTTTAAGGTTTATAAGTAGATTCATCTAGTGCCTACCTTCCTCCTCTTCCTCAGAACCATGCAGTTTCAATCAGCAACATATTTCAAGTATTAGTATGGTATATAACAGGAAGCTTTAGTGTGGTATATAACAGGGGCTCAGAATGTATTGTCGAATTAGTGAAAAAATGACAAGATTGAGGGAGATTTTCCAGAGTTTGCTAGCCGCCTGGCCTCTTGAGACTGCAGTGGAGCCCGGGGTGGTGGGGGTAAACATCTCCCCATCACTGGGAGTCTGTCCTGTGTTTGAAGAAACATCTCTGTGGCTACAGTCAGGGCATTTTTCACATTCTCTTGGTTTATTAAATTCCCCTTGGAAATCAGACAGATGATATGTTCCGAATGGATATCTGGCATGTGAGTAGACACTGTGTAAATGATTGTTAAATGAATGGATGGATCTGAAAAATATCTGAGAAGCGACAACAGTAGCCCCTAGCGGGCGACGTGGGTGAGACACAGCAGCATACCCCCGTGACTTCCGGTGGGTCCCTGTCCTCCATCCCTCCCTTTCCTCGGGGTGTGTCTGTAATTTACCTGAACATATTTAAGCACAGATCATGTGACATTTGTTATTGGAATCCTATGCAGGGCTAACTGCTGTTCTGATCAGGAATTAATATGCTAGGAGTCCTTAGCTCACTAAATTATTGGAAAGGTCACAGTGCCTCAGTTTCTATCAAATACTTTGCCAATCAGCAAAGCAATATCAGATATCAGTTATTATCACAGCGATCAGTGGCTTGTTAATGAGCTATCTAAAAGTAAGAAAGAGTCTCTGGTGAAATTAGGAATATTCAAGATGTGAGGACTGCCTGAAATATTGCAGAGAGCCCTTCAGGGCGTCTAGGCTTGATTGAAGAGTCCAGCTGGGCCTGTAGCGGGTTCAGTAAGCGTGGTTCCTGGGCTTCATCCCCAAATAAGTGACCCTGGATCACTCTGGGGGGTTTCTGGTGGCCTAGGCCAACAATGAGTATATAACAGGATAGTGCTTCTGGAGCTGTGTCCTTTCTCAATCCAAAGGCAAAGAGGGCATTCTAGGAAGGTATTTGGGCTTCCTCACTATGTTTGTTTAGTGAGCATCTATGATAACATTTGCTGTTGACTTCACTCTGACCCGCTGGAGAGGCTCATGCCCTTCACAGAGGATCTGAGGGGTGTGCATGATCCAGTTTGCTTATCTTGCATCCTGCAGCCTTCATCTACGATCTTCACTTCTTCCTGTCCTTCTCATCTGCTCAGTCATTCCTTCTCTCCTCCTCCAGTGGCCTCCTCGTCTTCTCTCTGTGGGCACAAAGCAGATGGTAACTGACTTTGCCCAGAGGAGTCAGCAGGAGACAGACAGCTTCCTGGCTGTGAAGACATCTTCAGAGGGGCAGGCCCTTCAGCGAATGGCTACAAGTCAGCAGGAGGGGATATTTTATGACAATCATTTACTACTTTCTTTTACTCCAACCTTGCAGCTTGCAAGATAAGAAAACAAGGGACAGAAGCCGGTATCCATAATAACTTTGTGCACCAGGTTCCCGTTTCATGTGTCACAGAGCAATTTCACTTGTAACCACCGGAGGTCATTAGAGATTGTGTGTGTATTTTGAGCCAGCCTAACAGGCCTGACAGTCTGTCACTGGAAATTACATCCTTTGTCTGGTACCTGAAGTCTTCTTTCTGTCGGACCAGAATGTGGAAGGAACCTGCTCGGTGAAATTGCTTTGTTTTGTTTGATGGCGGCTGTGTTTCCACAGACAGTGATGTGTGACTCAGAGTTCTGCGCGGCTGCTGTCGTTGGTCTTACTTGGGGGGAAGCTGCATGGGCCTTTCTGGCCTCTAGATTTGGTGCCCTGAACCCATCTTTAATGTGAAGTGACGGTTTCTGTTATCAGTTCATTCCCCCAAGTCCGAGTTGTCATTTTATACTTCTCACCATCTCATTCAGTCTTCTGCTCCTTCCAGTTGTCTTTCTTCCCCTGAAATTGTGAATAAACGTAATAAATGGGAGAAATGGGCATCATGGGAAGGCCTGAAATATACCTGTATGTGTATTCTTTTGTTCAACTTTTTTTTCATAGTAGAGTGACCATTGCTTTATAATTTCCAGGTAACTTTCTTTTAATTTATAAACATGATATTTCAGTGTTTGTGGGAAAGATGTCATCACAATTTTCTTAAGTTTCTTCTTAATCTCAGAGACATAGAGTAAATATCTAAGACTTTTTTTTACAGGTCTAGTAAATATTCCATAATTGACATTGGGTCAGATTGGGGGGTTTCTGGTGGCCTAAGGTCAATGGTAAGTGTAATATCAGGGTGCTGCTTCCAGAGCTTTGTCTTTTCTCAAAGTTTAAGATGATCTTAAATGGCACTTTGTGATATCTAGGATACTTTTCAGAGGCGATCGGGCACATGTAAGGTGGTATGGCCGTGGGCATGAGGCGGTTTGCAGAGGTTCAGCTTCTAAAGCCACCCTAGTAACCTAGCGGTCAGCTGTCCCGGCCGCCTCCCACAGCCGCGCTTTTCTCCTGCCTGCACTCTGGCATGCACTCCGGTATGTCACACTCCTATCCACGTGGTTAAAAGGTCCCCACGGCCACTTGACTGCACTGACCTTTCCTGTGTCTTCTTAAAGGAAACTGGGCTGTTTGTTTCTGTTCCACTTGGCAAAACCTAGGAGGAGTTTCAATCCAGCTTCTTGCCTCACTGGTGGGACCGGTTTTCAATTGCTTCTGCTCAAGGCCTGGAGTTCCAGAGTAGGAGCTGTTGAAACTTGCAGCTGCCTTGAAGGGGGCAACATTCATGCAACTGCATTCCCAAGACAAGCAGATAAAATGCACACGTGTGCGTGCGTGCATATGTGAGCGTGTGTGGCATTGGGACAGAGGAGACCTGAACAGCCCCCAAGGACTTAGTTCAAATCATTCATCCCCATTGGAGCAGACTGCAAACGGGGAGGAAGGTGTACCAACCACAGTGTACTGAAGAGAGAGACCTACCGGCTGCCTCTGTCCACTTAGCCCCTTCGCTACAGCCCCTGGAGGGTGGCTGAGATGACCCTCCACTGTCCTCTGCTGAGGCAATCGGGTGTCACCCTTCAGATACCATGTACTTCATTAGTTGATTCCTAACACACCGCAGCTACAACTCAGTTACAGAAAGGCAGTGTGAAAGGAGCCTGTTTCTGTGAGAATGTGGGGAAGATGCTGGAGAAAACAGTCATCCAGGGTAACATGTGATGGCAGGTTGTTCAGTTAGACAGCTGTGGGGGCCCTGCCTTGGGATTTGCATTAGGGGGAGGGGCCTCAGGGCTCACTCAGCACCACACTTGCTCTTCACGTAGAACGGACATTAACGCTCAACAGCGCACAAGCGGGTGGAAATTTATGGCAAGAAAAAGAAAATGAGAAAGAAAAAGAAACTTACAGCCAAGGAACAGAGAGGTATGCGTGCGTGTCAGTGGCTGGAAATTTATTAAGAGGAAGTATCAGAAGCAACAGGGGTTCTGTCTAAAGCAACCAGGCAGGACTCTTGCTGGAGATAGCCCAGAGCAATCAAAGGGCCCCTGGAGGCTGGTGAAGGAGAGGGATGTGATCTGATAGGAGGCCAGATATCCAGAGGTGTGGTTCACGCTGGAACGACTTAGCAGTGCTCTTTGCTAAAACTGGATTTGACAAGGAAGTGTATAGTTAGCCCTGGGGAAAGGTTCAGGAGCTTAGCCCAAGTCCTGTCAAGGAGAAGCTCTTTGACAAGAGAGGGAAGGGCAGTATTCAAAATAAACTGTACACTTACTTGTGTCTTAGTCACTTTTTGACACTAGGACAAAGTATCTGAGTCCCAAAACTTAAAGGAGGAGAGGTTTTTTGGCTCTCAGCGTCAGGAGTCTCAGTCCATGTTTAACAAGCTTACACACAGCCATGGCGCCACAGAGGGGCCAGGCGGAGGAAAGCTGCTGGCATCATGGTGGCCGGGAAGCAGAGTGCACGGAGGAGCCAGGGAGGGAGACAGAGCCTTCTGGTCCTGCCCCGCCAGGCGACTCACTTCCTAACAGCAAGCCTAACGAAGACCCCTACTCCAATCACCTTCCAGTCCAGCCACCTCCCCGGAGATGTAAACCATAACAACTCGTAACTAAAACAACAGATTTCTAAATACTCGCGGCAAGTCTGGGCCACTTTAACTCTTCCTTTTCCGCAGACTTCTGGACACACCCTTTCCTCCCTCACAGTTCAGCTAATGATGGGCAAATACATACAATATGCCCATTCCTTGTTGGCATGGTTTAAGAGATGAATGAAGCCAAAAAAGGAAAATTCTTTAACTTTTATTTTAGTCTCTTTCACAGTAATAATGATTGCACTCATTCTGGGGAGATGGTGTGTGTATGTGACACATCTCCACCTTTTATGCCCCTTCTCCTCCTTCCATCTCTTGGTCCCCTTCCCATCTCCCTGTTTCCTATTGTCTATCTAAAAAGAATTCTTAGTTTAAAAGGAAAAAAGAAACCAAAAACTGCAAGCTGTTTTGTTGAGCAGGGGTGGGGCTGGGTCCCCATGGGTTGAGGGAAGATCACTGGCCTACACTGGACTAAGTCCTTGTACCTCAAGTTCTCACTTCCTGTTTTGTAAGTGGTTTTTTTTTTTTTTTTTTGAGACAAGGTCTCCCTGTCCACTATATAGTCCAGGCTGGCCTCGAACTCTCAATGATCTTCCGGCCTCAGCCTTCCATGGGCTGGGATTACAGGAACGTGCCACCATTCCCAGCCTTGAGTCACCAGATGTGATGGTGTACATCTGTAATTCCAGCACTCAGGAGGATGAAACAAAAGCTCACCAATTCTAGGTCAGCCTGGGCTTCCCAGTGAGAGAATGTAAAGGAAAAAAAAAAAATCCCAAGCCAGATCCCAGCAAAACAAGGCTAATCCGTAAAACAACAGCTAGGTTAAAAGTAGTTTTCACGGGGCTGGGGATTTAGCTCAGCGGCATAAGGGCCTGCCTTTGCAAGCAGACAGTCGTGAGTTCGATCCCCGGTACCGGTAAAAAGAAAAATACAAAAAAAAAAAAAAAAAAGTAGTTTTCACACCAGATACTAAAACCACTTTAGCAGACACCACCCGCACCTCCCCCGCCCCACAAAGGGGGACAGGGCAGGATGCGAAAGGGGCCAGAGGAAAGTGGCGTGTAAGACTGGCCCCCAGCCCAGCCCACCTTTCCACATTCCTCTCCTCCTTCCTGTTTGGCCTCAGCTATTACTTGCCGCAGGTGTGGCTGAATTCATCTTGATAATTGCATCCCTGTGGGTGTCCGGTTGCCAAGGAGACCTCAGGAGTGGCAACATTCAAGAGGCCTCTGAGTGCTGTGGCCTTTACCACCAAGCTAGCTTCCGGTCTCTGCTGTGAGAATCAGTGCTCCCAGCAGGGAACCGTTTGGAAACTGTCTCAGGGAAGATGCGCAGGGCTAGGAAGCCCAGGATGGGAAAGGGAAACTACAGAGCCCCTGGCATGGGTGATATACTGGGTCCTTAACTTTAGTAATTCTGAGCAGAACTGATTTTCCTTATTGTTTAAAAGAAGGAAGAAAGACAAATAGGTTTTAAAAGTGATAAAAGATAAAAAGGTTTTAAAATGGTCTGGGGATTTAGCTCAGTGGCAAAAGCTCCTATCTGACAAGCCAGAGGTCCTGAGTCAAAAAGTGACCCCAAAGAGTCATTTATTGTGGTCACTTCTCTGGCCATCTCAGCTCTTCATGTGGCTGTGAACCAGGAAGGAAAACCAAAACCAGTCCGCAGTCAGACAGGGAGCCCTTCCAGCCCTCTGGAGGGCCTAAACACTTGGTTAAGTTGGGGCTCTCTGTAGTAAATGGGAAGGGCCTTGAAGTCTCCCAGCCCACCACGCATAGATTCAGTGCTCTGGACTTAACTTCAGCATCTGCATTAATCTGCTTTGCTGCCCCTTCCTTCCACCACTGGGAAGTCAAGGTCACAGGTATGGAAAAGCTGCCACCATCAGAATCGCTCAGTGCCGCTATGAAAGGGATTCTGGTTCACCAGGTCGGGGTGCAGCCGAGGAGGCTCTTTTCATCAGTGTGCAGCCAGGGTGGCACCCAGGCATGAGTGATCTTAAGGCTTCTTCCCCATCTTGCTCCTCCTCCTGGAGGCAGCATCACTGACGGTGCGGGCTGCCCAGTGTAGTGGACAAAACGCCAGGATTGGTCCAGGCTCTGCGGTGTCTCTTCCACCTTACCTGTGTTGCTGCTTTGTGGTTTCAGAATGTGTTTTACTATAGCAAACACACAATTTTAGCTCTAAAATTGTCATAAATAATTATGGAAACATTTCACACTCATGTAATTGAAAAATCAAGTTATCTTGCTGTAGTTGAAGCTTGTTTCAGTGGTTCAGTAGGAAAACCGATCCTTTGTTTCATTTTCTCTTTCTCTCTCTCTGTCTCTTCCTGTCTGTCTGTCTGCTTCTTTTTCTCTGTTCTGCCCTCAGCAATCATGGCTTCATTTTTTCTGTTTCCCTAGTTAACATTCCAGAGGACAGGAGAGATTTTCTTTGGCCTTCACTCTGATTGGCCAGCTGTGGTGTCCAGAAAATTGACTCATGTGAGCTCACATTCATCTTGTTTTTTTAGAGCTAGGGATGGAATTCCCAAACAGAAAATAAGGGCAGTTCACCTAAAGAGGGGGTAAGTAAATGAGAGGTGGTAAAAGTTAATTTCTTCATTTAACATTCAGCAAATATTGACTGAGTGCCCACTATACACAAGATTGATTCTTAGTACACGAGATTTAACAGTGAACGTCGCATAAAAATGCCTGCCCACTACAGTTTACAGTCTAGTGGAATAAAACCCATCCTAACATAGAAAATCAGGAATATTCATGCCTCTCATTGGATATCTGATGTAAAAAGTACCACTTTTAGGGTGTTTCCCATGTCCCAGAAGTTAGAGCAGTGTAATAGTTGCCCAGGGGACCTAGTATGTTCCTGGCCCAACCTCTGGAGCCTGTGGGCATCACTGTCCATGGCAAGGGGTCTCTGCAGATGTGATTGAGTGTAAGTGCTCGAGGTGGGGAGACTGGATTATCCATGCAGGCACAGTGTAATCATGGATCCTTCTAAGAGCCGCAGGAGGAGTGTGGGTCAGAGGAGAAGGTGCTGTGCTAATAGGCGCAGAGGGACAGACGGAGGGTCTGTGTTAGGTGGCAGAGGGTGAGGGAAGGAGTCCCTGACATGTGACATTTGTGCTGGCGTCTGAGGTGCACAGGAGCTAGGCAAGCAATAGTTGGAGGAGGAGTTTTTCACCTGGAAAGGAAACTGTGCGAGAAGTTGGACCTTCTTGGCCTGGTCGGTCCCCTCTCGCTATTTCATTCTAGCGCTAGGACTCAGAGCCATGGCCTTGGGCATGCTGTGTAAACTCTCTACTTCAGTCATAACCCTAGTCTTGCCTAGTCAATTTTTAATATCAGACTTCTGTTTGTTTCTGTTTTTGTCCTGGAAATGAAACTCAGGCCCTCATGCTTGCCGGGCAGGTTGTTGTGCCGCTGAGCTATATTCCTGGCCCAATGTCAAACTTTGGTAGATCCACTCAGAAATAGGGATAAGAAAAAAAAAGGAAGACACCAGTCACCAATAATGTGATCACTCATGCACAGCCTTCCAAATCTTTATGCTGACACGCATCCATGTAACTATGCACAGATCTGATTATGTAAGTTATTTACAGTCTTTCTTTAAAAACTACTCAGTCACACATTAATGCTTCACAAAACTACCTATCTGCTGTCTCATCCGCTAAAGACTTTAGCACATGGTTCTTCAATTTCTGTAATCCCTACCCCAGTCTTCATTCTGCATGAAACCGGCGTTCATGTGGAAAGCCTACCTCGTGTCCTGCACTCAGTAGATCTTCTCACCCATAAAGAATTTCTGCTTCACCTTCTGTGGCCTTCACCTCCCGCTGATGGAAGCAGCTCCTCCTCTTCTGATTTGCCTGTCCGGCCATCCCCACCTTGACCGCTGTCTGACTCTGGTTTTTCCATTCCATTTGCTCCTATGTTTCTTCCCAATAACTGCTGATTACCCCACTGGGAGGTCATGGCCCATGTCAGTAATTCACATTCCAGTTCCTTCAGCTCCCTGTGTGGAAGACTTTCATTGCATTCCTCACATTCACCCAAAACCTGAGCCATCAATGATGGACCCAACGTTTTCACTTTGCCCTTACGTCATAGAGAGTTTCTGGGTGAGGCCATCCAGCAGGGTACATTGCTTATAATAAATTACTTTCCAACTTTGTTTTCAAGCTGAATCGAAACTGCACAAACAATAAAATGAACTCCCATATACCAATACCCACTGTTAACAGTGATTAACAGAGAGTTCATGTTATTTCATCAGTTCCTCTCAAAGTTCCAATCCCTTTTTAAATCAAACTCAAAACATGTTGCTTCATATCTTATTATTCCAGTATATCTTTTTAAAAAGCAGTGTTTTTAAAAATTTCATCACAATTTCATTATTAACTAATATTCCTTAATATCATCATATGTGTCTAGTCAGTGTTCAAATTTCTTCAGTGACCTCATAAATTCCTACTTTAAAAATAATTTTCTTGAGTCAGGACTCAAATAAAGTTCCTGTGTCGCAGTTGATCAATGTGATTCTTAAATGTCTTTAATGAAAAGGGTCCCCTTTCCTCGCCCCATTTTTCTTTTGTCCCTGATAGTCTCCCACAGTCTGCATCTTGCTGGTTGTTCCCTTCTGTCTTTGTCTGGGAGTTTGGGCCTGGTCAGGTTCAGATATGACTATTTTCTGAGACCGTCTGATAGGGGGGTGTTCTGTTCCTTCTTACCCCATTACCCTCGTTACTAACTGGAATACACCTCTAAAAAGAAACTTGCTGTTTTTACTGATTTGCTTTTCTCTGAGGTATTATCCACACTTGATCTTAGCCAAAAGGCCAGGAAGTGATTTTTGAAGGTATCATTCATACAAGAAAGAAAATGTTTGATCAACCTTCTATACAATAAATTAGTTTTCTACCATCCTCCAAAATTGACCATTGAGTCCTTTGTAGCATTATGAATTTAAAGATTTTTATTATGAGTTTAAGTTTTTTTTTTTTTGAGACCAAGTCTTGCCATATGATTCAGGCTGGCTTCTGTAGCCAAGGATGTCCTCAAACTCATGGTAATCCTCCTGTCTCAGCCTTCCGCATGCTGGGATTACACCACATTGGTCTGAGTTTAAGCATTTTGATATAATTCAATCCATTTCATTAGTCTTCTTATTGGTGTTCAAATTGTCCTATCATTGGTCTGTAGAGCCATTTCTGGTAACTCTTACATTCTCCTGATATATCTTGGTAATTAACTTGCAATAATTTCTGTTCCTTCTGGAGAGTTCAAAATGTTCCAGGCTTCCTTTGCCTCAGACTTGGGGTGAACATTTCTCTAAGGAGCCCTGGTAGTTTTTGGTGGCAAGTGGTATTTGGAGCTAGGTATTGTTAGAGCACTCATAGAACTCTCTAGGTTGCACGTTGTTTCTAGGAATTTTTACAGGCAGCACTAGAAAGCTTTTAAAAAATTACCTTGCATCATGAGCTCAGGTCCATGTTCAGGTTGCCAGAGCTTCAGTTTTCGTATTAAATAGCTGTGTGTGCTTCCTGTCACACAGGCAGCCTTGGTTCCTAGTGACAACAGCATAATTGCTCATTTTCTATAATACACACACAGCCTTCTCAGAATACCAAAACTATATATAATTACTACTCATGATATAGTTACTCAAATTTGTTAAATTGTTCTGTTTCAGTTTTTTTTTTTGTTTGTTTCTTAGATACATCACATAGTCAAATTTCTCTGTTAAAAATGATTCCTAATTGGTTATGTAACTAAATCAATAAGCCATTAATTTTGTTTAGTTTTGTTTTTGGATTTTAGGGGTTGCATTTATGAAGTTCAAAAAAAATTTTTTTTAATAATTAGGTAAAATACAAGTGGCTAGAAAAGTCAGATTTAGGAAACAAGATATTTAGACAAATCTGGCTTCTACCCTGTTTTCTTTTCTCTCTCTCTCTGAATCTCTACCACAGGAATCAGCAAGTGTTTTCTAGAGAGAGTCAGATAGGACGAATTGAGCTCCAATCTGAAAGTCTTAAATCTGAAACTCCCAAATCCGAAATTTTTTGAGTTTGTTGATATGACACTACAAGAGGAAAATCCCACACCACAAAGCTTTGTCTATGCACAAAGTTATTTAAAATATCATACAGAATGAACTTCAGGTTATGCGTATTCAGAATATATAAAATACAAATGAATTTCCTGTTTTGATTTGGGTACCATCCCCAAGATGTCTCATTACGTACACGCAAACATTCCAAAATCTTTAAAAATCCAAAATTCAAAACACTTGTGTTCTAGGCATTTTGGGTTAGGTAACTTCAACCTGCAGATATCTTGGGCTTTGGGGCCACAGGATCCCTGTGGCAGTACTCGCTCTGCTGCTGAAGCATGAAAGCCAGCTCAGCGTGTGAGTGAATGGGTGTGGTTGAGTTCCAGTGAAATTTTGCAACAACAGGAGGCAGAAAAACAGTTCGGGGGCAGGAGAGGATCCCTGGCCGTCTCTGCTCTCCGGTCCCCATGCTTGCTGTCCTAAGACAGTTCCAGCTCGAAACTCGCCTTGCTTCAGAGTGATTTGTGCCATCACTAGTCCACAGGCTGCATCTAAATGATCTTCCCCCCATTCTTATCTTACTTCATCTCTCTGCGCCACTCGGTAACACCCGGAACTCACCTCAAAACAGTCTCCCCGCAGGGTAACCCTCACTGGCTTCCTCCTATGCCACAGTCCTCTCATCTCTGTGTTTATTGCACAAAATGTTCTTAACATTCTTCTAGTGCAGTGAACATTAAATGCAGGCATTTCTCCAGTCTGTTTGAACCTTACTTCTCTTTCCATTCTAAATCCTAGGTCCCATAATCCATAACTATGAATTTATTTAACACTTCTATCCTAACTGTCAGACTGTTACTATCTGGGCCAAAGATGTGTAGCCCAGACATCTTTGAGTTTCTAATTATATATTTACAGTTTACTTGATATTCATTTTTGGATGTCTTGAAGACATCTCAAAATCAACCTGTTTAAAGCTTATAATTATTGCAGGCAAAACTTCTTTGTTTTCTCTAACTTAATAATGCTATTAACAACTCTGCTGTGTCAAAGGCTCAAAACCTGGTAGCCATCTGATCATCGCTGATCCATTACTCCAACAAGGCTTAGCTCCATTTGGGTCTCTGTGTCTCTAGCCTGTGCATCCGTGTGCACCCTGGGTTGGAGCACAGTTGTCTCTGGCCTGGTCTCAGCCATGCTGATAGCCTGTGACTCTGGTTTCCTTCCGCCCTTTCCAGCACTGACTGTGCACACGAGTGCAGTGCGGTGCTGCTTTCGCATGCCACACTGTGATTATGTCATAATGGCCCCGTCTAACATTATTAATTTTAAAATCTGTTCCTTTTAGCCAAGCATGGTTGCACACACCTATAACCTTAGCACTTAGGAGGCTGAGGCAGGGGGTTGCGAATTCAGGGCCAGCTTGGACCATATGGATAAATTTATCTCAAAACTTTAAAAAAACAAAGCAAAACAAACAAAACAGAAGTGCACTGTTTAATGTGGCCCGCGGCCTGCAGGGATAAGGCTCCCGCCCACCCTCTTACGGCTTCTCTGTAGCTAGTTGTGCTTCGGTTACACTCGCCTTCCTCCAGCTCCTCACGAGCACCCTGCTGCCTGTGCCTTGACTTCCCCAGCCAGGAGAGCTCTTCTCCCCTCAAGCCTCCTTCTCCAAGATGCCCCTCACCCCCGGCTCCTGCAGACACCTTCCGTACCTCTCTGCCAGCTGCTTCTCCCAATGAAACACTGTTGTAGCATCATAAGATCTATGGCAGTTGTAATTTTACATTTCTTTGTTTGATTTTTTACTTGTTGATGCTGTTTTTCTAATCAGACTTTAGGTTCCATAAAAGTAGGAGCTGTACCATACCATTTTCTTTTCTTTTCTTGTCTCATCATTATAACCATAGAATATAAAAAGTAATCCAATCAATATTGGTGTACTGAATGAACCAATGAACCAAACCACAACAAACATACACATAGTATTTTAGTTCGTAAGGCATTCTAGGCCCTGTACACCTTTGAGCAGAAGTTTTCAGACTCTACTAAAAGCTATGAATTTGCTCCTCAGGAAAACAAACATATACATGCATACAAAATTTGCCTAAAATTTTAGGATGTTCACACTACAAAACTGACATGGACAATAATTCATGTGGTAGTCGGGAGTTTATTATTGGAACAAATACCTGAATATTCTTTTTTTTTTTTTTTTCTTTTTTCTGGTACCGGGGATTGAACTCACGACCGCCTGCTTGCAAGGCAGGTGCTTATGCCGCTGAGCTAAATCCCCAGCCCCAAATATCTGAATATTCTAAGCATGGTAGCACACATGTGTAATCCCTAAACTTGGAAGGCTGAGATAGGAGGGTTACTGCCTGGGCTACATAGTGAATTCAAGGCCAGCCTAAAGTACATAGCAAGACCTTGTCTCAAAAAACCAGAACAAATAAACAAAAACTCTCAGATAATCATCTTAAAGAAGGAAAGATTTATTTTGACTCACAGTTTTAGGAACTTCAGTCCATAGTGAGTTGGCCTTGTTGCTTTGAGCTTTTGGTGAATCAGCACATCATGGTGGAAGCATCTGGTAGTGAAGCTGCTCACAGCAAAGAGAGATGGGAAGAGGCTGGACCATCACTCTGCCCTCTGCGCCCCCAACTCCAATGACCTATCTTATTTCCACTAGGCTCCGCCTCTTAAAGGTCCCTCCACCTTCCAGTAGCACCAAGCTGGAGACCAAACCTTTACCACGTGGGCTGGCGGAGCATTTCAAATTCATGTTCTATCAGTCTTTAACCTTCACTACCACCATTTTTGGCTTGCTTTTTTTGTTTTTGGTGCCAGGGATCAAACTCATGACTGCATGCTTGC